TCCCGATTGTTGTCCCGATCGGTCTCCTGATGGTGTCCTGATAGTGTTTCGATGGTGTCTCGGTGGTGTCCTGGTGGTGCCCCGATAGGTGCCCCGAGTGGTGTTCCAATGGTGTCCCGATTGGTGTCCCGATTGTTGGTCCTGGTGGTGTTTCGATGGTGTCTCGATTGTGTCCTGGTGGTGTCCATAGTGAGACTTGGGGGGGGATCGCAGAGAACCCGATACGCCAAACGGTTTTCAATGTCAGCATCACCGGCCACGGGATCGACTGTGACGCCGCATCGTCACATTGCCATCACAGCGCAGTGATGGCGGCTTTTATTTGGCCCAATAGTGTTCCGATGGTGTTCCGATCGTACTCAGCATGACCGCCGTTGCCGTCGCCGCCACGCTCACCACTGCGGCCATCACCTTGCCATCAGCGGCCAGCCATCACACTTAGCACCAACCATCACAGCACAGTAGTGGTCGCAGTTATTTGGCCTCGTGGTGCCCTGGTGGTGTCTCGATGGTGAGGTCGATCGAGCGGCATCGATAGCGGGACGAGATCGCGACGCAGCATCGTCACGATGCGTCGTCCCCAGCTCGAGGGCGCATCACCAGCATCGTCACCATTATCGCCATCGCAGTTGTCGTGAATTGGTTCTTCTTCCCCCCCACCAGCAGCCCCTGCCCCGCCAGGCTGTGCCCGTGCGGGCCATGTACCGTACTTCGGCATCTACAGCCCCCGCTACACGAGCCGTGTGGGGGCTCCTTTTTTCTTGTTGCCCTGACACTCTCCTCTTTACGTTCTATTTTCACCTGTTACATCTTGCCTTGCATGTGGGATCAGACCTTCGACGTTGTGTTCTACAACCCGCTACACATATCCGACGCCTGGCGAGCAGAAGCAATCAGTGCGTCCCTCCGCTTCGCAGACGTCATACTGTGCCCGGCGACGACATGCAGACAACGCGTGAGAGCGCCTGTCACCACGACGACGTTGAGATATCATCGCTTGTTTTCTTTCGGCTGGGAAAGGGAGAGGCACGCCAACAAGAGTGCAGGGGGCGCCATATTCCTGAAGAGGCGCCGTATCCGACCCCAGCACATATGTAAAGGCGGGCCTGCCCCGCCCGACATCGCGGGCAGAGGAGGAGTAGGCAAGATACGAAGCGGACAGTTCGGTGTGACGCTAATTGTTGCCTACTACCCACCGCCCAGCAATATGGAAGTCGAGGCTTGGAGATCCACCTGCTCGCGAGTGACGGATTGGGTGCAAAAGACGGCGCAGGCGGCCCCCAGCCGCTCTATGACTCTGATCGGCATGGACCTCAACTCGCAGTGTGGTGCCCGTCGAGTTGGTCAGGGAATGTCCACGAGCACGATTGACGATCTACACGTGGGCCCCTTCGCGAGTGGAGTGGGGAGCGAGGTTTCGATCGGCATTTGGAGGATGTTGAACATGGAGACTCATGCGGTTGTCGATTCATATCGGCCGACGGGCCCGACGGTCTACGGAGCAGACTCGAGCAGCAACCCCGACCACCTGATCTCCCCACAGGAGCAGTCGGAAAGACACAGCAGTGCCGCATACTGAGGCGAGCCATGAGAGAGCTCCAGGTGGTCCCAGTCCGCCGACCAAGGGACCACGCCCCGTTGACGCGGCGCCTTTCGCATGTACATCAAGCGCCAGAACCACTCCATCGCGAAACTAGATGGGGCAAAGATCAGCGGTTTCGACTCCTGCAGCACAGAGGCGATGGGGTAGAGATCCTCGCTGAACTTGAGCGCCTGTCGGAATCTAGACGGCAACAGTGGCAGCGGCAGACGCAATCGCTCGACCCAACGGCCGCGCGGGAGCCGATAGCTGCAGACGTGCGCAGCGCTGCCCTGCCCGAGCTGGAGGTGGCCCCCGACGCTCCAAGCTGACAGAGGTGTACCGCGCAGAGAGGGACACCTTGCTGGAAAGGAGCCGCGCGGTCCGCTCTTCCCTCTTCACCGAGACCGACCAGCAGCGGCTGCGAGACCTGGACGCCCATTTGAAGCGAGAGAAAAAAAAGAGGTTAGATCTCGCTTGCGTGTCACGACTGCTGGGGGAGGCGGATGCCCACGTTGAGGCTTCCGACGCGAGCAATGCGTGGCGCCTTATGTATCAGATCGGCTTCCGCCGTCGCGGCCCCCGCCAGCGCGCCTTCAACGTGCCCGACCCCTACCGACCTTCACTGGAAGAGTGGACCACTACGATGCAGGCCCTTGCTGGGGAAGGAGGGCTCTCGGCGGCCATCTTGGAGGGCCCCATCGGAACCTGCCCAACCCGAGCTCCGGGGGCTTCAAGAAGAAGGACCTGAGTACTTCGGCGGGGCCCCTTCTTCTAGGGCTTGGGGCGACTGGCGGGGGCGCGGCGCTGCAGTTACGTGAGGCAGCAAGACGGCGCTACTCTCCGACGCACTCCGCACCCGCGGAGCCCCGGCATCGGTAGATGCAACGCGCTTCTTTTCAGCCTACAGGAGAAGGGCCCTCTACTCGCCATCTCAGCGAGAGGATGCAGCGACACCTCCCTCGCCAGGCGAATGCATGTGCAGGGTCCAATATTTGCGGGGCGCCTGCGGCTGTTCTTCCGACATCCACGCGCGAAGTCGCGCCCCCCCTCCACCAGGCAGTGGAGCCGCGCGCTTCAGCTCTTCAAGGGGGGCCTCGAGAGGAGCGCGAAGGCCATGGGGCTCATCCACTGCTACTGCCCCTTTGGGAAGGCCTGGCAAAGGGCCCCGCGCGCGCGACGCGCCTAACCGCCCCCCCCCCCCCCCCCCCCCCGAACGCGCGCATGGATCTGCCCCTCGCAGGTCCCGACAGGGTGCCCAGATTACCGCGAAGGTCCACAGTTGGAGGCTTAAAAAACTGGGGGGTGCCACATCTTCTGGCCAAGAAAGACATGTCCAACGCGTCTCTCTCAACGGCCCATGCCGAACTTGCGCGCGCTCCCCCGCGGGCGGTTCCGTCTCCACAGGACAGAGTCTACTTTCACCAGCGTCACGAGAGGCGGCGATGGAGATCAGGGCGGGAGCAGAGGTGGGATGCTACCAACCACATCACGGGGCTGGAATGGGGGATGGGAATTCTTGTGACTTGTTTGTGCGCCGTTTTCTCGGGCCAGTGGAGGAATGGCGAGATCACTTCATTGCGAAGTTTGATACAGTTCTCCGGGAAGGCTCTTTGGCACCGGTGGCGTTGGCCCGCGCTGCGAGTCTGATGGCCCGCGCTCTCTCGGACGAACTCTTCGACGTTTCGGTTAGAGACTGCGCTGGCGATATGCGCCGGGCGATTTCGATGGCGAGCTGTAGCCCCATCGAGGCCCAGACGAGGCTTCTCGAGTCCAACTCGCTCTAAGATCGCGTCCTCGAGGAAGGAGGAGGTCTCTCACAAAACCATGAGAAGGAGCTTTGTATGCCAGTCATGGCCCTGGCGCGCGCGCAGCGACACGGACCCTGCTGTCTCGCACGGCACCAGCGCCTGGAGCTATCACAGCAGAGAGTCTCCACCCGGGGGGATGGAACAACTCACGGGAGGACGCGCAGCTGAAATACGGCGACGGATTGAAGCTACGAGAACAGCTTGGCGGAGGATGGGGAGGTTTTGGGAGGTGACTCACTCCATACGTTTGAAGCGCCTAGTTTTCAAAGGCGCGCCGCGGTCGGCAGCGCACTCTGGCCTGGAGTCGCATCTGCCAGGGAAGCACGACCTGCGCAGGCTGGACGCAGTTGCGCTGCCGTTTGCCCGCGCGGTGCTGCGCGACCGCAGGCCAGTGTTCACAGAGGGGCCCCCCGCGGGGACACGCCCGAAGCACCGTTCGCCGCCCGCAGCCACGGTGCTACAAAAGCTTCGCATTACGGACTCCCGCGCTGAGCTTCTGGCCCGACGGTTGCTTCAGCGGCAAAGGTACGCGTCTCACCCCGACGACAGTCGACAGCCACTTGCTGCCATCTTTGGGACTCTAGAGGGCCTCAATGAAGACCCGACGGTCCTGGGGGATGACTCTGCGAGCCCGCGAGCTAACCCTCGGGCTCGACAAGTTCAAATGGATCTGGGGGGCCCTTCACCACCTCGAGGGAGGCACTGCGTTCCTGGAGGCCTACTCTGTTCGCGGCACCTTCCGAAACGATGCCGCAGCCAGGGCGCTCTCGGGGTTCAGCGCTGAAATGCTCTGCAAGGCCCCCACCCTTCGAGGCCCGCCCTCCACCACGTGATCCTGATGCTGATCCCCCAGAGGCCCATGCACGTGAGCTTCCTGGTCCAGGTTCTGACGACGCACGTGGGCAAGTCTTTCGCAGCGCGGGGGCCTTACGGGCTCACCAGTGCCCCCCCCTCCTCCCCCCCCCCCCCACACACACGCACACACACACACACACACACACAACACACACACACACACACACACACACACACACACACACACACACACCCACCCACCCACCCACCCACCACCGCCCACCCCCCCAACCCCGCAAACTACGGGTGCCTACGCATATGCTGGCCGTGGCGAATCAATGTCTCCATTGCATGCTGGGTTCCAAAAGTGCGGCGACAGCAAAACGACATGTGGTGCAATCGCTACGAAGGGGGCGCTGCATCTGCGACGGGAGCCCTCATGCGCCTGGGCCGATTACCCCGCCCGACCCCCATTGCCCAGTCTGCGTGGACCCAGAGACCGCGTTCCAGGAGCTCATTGCGTGCATGTCACCTGGCTCGAGGCGCTCGGCGCCCTCTGACGCGCTGGAGGAGCTGCAGAGGCACCCCATGGACACTCGCGCCTCCGCTGCGCCAGACTTCGCTCACTACGATGGACCTCGCATAGAGGGCCCCCAGCGTTGAGGCAGGCGAGGGCGGCAGGGCCCTCCGCTCTTGGAGCGGCGAGCGCGGTGCGCCGCGCCGGGCCCGACAGGCGGAGCGGCCATCCCGCGGGCCCGCGGCGGCGGCGGCAGAGGCCGAGGGCGCAGCGGCGGCAGGGGCCGAGGGCGACCTCTCGCCAGCGGCGGCGGCCGCGGCCGCGGCGGCGCCAGGCCCCCCCCCCCCGGGCAGCAGCGACAGCAGCCGCAGCGAGGAGCAGCCCATCCACTGGCCCAGGTTTTCGACATGGCGGACAACACGCACGGCCTGCAGCGACGGGACTTCGCGCAGCTCCAGAACCAGCAGATGTCCATCGAGATGGTCAAAGCCCTGACGCCCGTCGCGATGCGGGCGACCCTCAGGAACACGCAGGGCATCGCGACGCTGGAGTGCGCAGCGTTCATGATTGTGCTCATTCAGGCGGACCATGCAGTCAGCCAGGCCATCCAGTTGACAGGGAAGTAGTTCGCACAAGAGGCTACCCGCCTGCGGCGAGATCACAGAGACGAGATCAGAGCAGGCAACCCAGTGGAGGCGCTGGAGAAGCACCCCCACCTGTGGCTCGCGCTGGTGGGTGCCCGCCAGCAGCAAGGAGATCGAGTGGGAGCTCAAGATGCAGCGGCCATCAAGGCCTACTTGGATCGGGTCCAGGGAGACCCGCTGCTCACGAACTCCACGCTTGCCCAGCAGGTCGAGTACTGCCGAGTGCCCTACACGCACGACAAGAGCTCGATGAAGACCCTCATCGAAGCAAAAGAGACGGGGATCCAAAGCGCTGGTGCAGCTGGGAGCGAAGATCATGAATGGGACGCCGCCGAAAACCCACCAAGAGAGGCTCTTGCAGCTCGCGCTGGACGGCTTGGAGGCGTAAGCGACTCTAGCAGAATGAGGCAGGCGACGCAGTCAAGTGCTGGCAAGGCTCCGTCCTTCCCCTCTCCTCCTCCTCTCCCTTCCTCGTCGTCTGAGGCTTCGTCTCGTCGTCCCCGCTTGACCTCCTCCTCGTCCTTAGATGCAGCGATTTGCCGACTCATCCGGGGGTCCCAGAGCGCCGACAGCAATAATCTCGCGGGTCGACGCCCAGGGAACCTGCAATGTTTAGTGGTTTTGCTTTTCAGGATAAGATCGCTGCCTTTTTAAAACCTCAAGATGTTGTTGGCTCGCCTACGGTTCAACAGAGTGGATCGTGGCCGTCCTTCCTTTTTGTCATGACCAGGGGGTGCGGTCTTAACCCAGGGATATCCCCGTGCGAACGCACCGCTACTGTTAGCTCACTCGTGGTCCTTGTGCTGTGCCGCCGTTCTCTCTCGAGCTTCACACTTGCAGACACGTGGATCAGCCGAGTACCGCCGCCGCCGCCGCCGCCGCCGCGCCCCACCAACATCCTTGTCACCCGAAGGTGGTCGTATAGGTCTGCTGATGCCGTTTTGAATCTTCCAGGAGCGCGGTGCGAGTGCGCGGGGGCATCCTGGCCGACAAGGTTCGGAGACAAGTGCTGACTTCCACGAAAACGCCGGCATTGTTTGGGGACACGGAGGGGGGCAGGAAAACCCCGGGAATACACAGAAGGAATAAGTCCGATCCTGGAAGATGAGCCGAGCTGTTTGTGTCGCCCAGGGCCCCTTTCCACAGGTCGGGTACGGCAAGACCGCGACGACGATCGGCCTCGTGGAGTGCACCCGCGGCGAGGGCCCCGCGCGCCCGCCAGGGGGCTGCGGCGGGGCGCTGGTGCCGAGCCGGGCCACGCTGGCCCTCACGGGCGGCGAACACGATGGCGACGACGTCGGCGACGAAGTCGACGTCGGCGACGACGACGACGACGACGACGACGGCAGCGACGACGACGACGTCGGCGACGACGACGGCGACGACGACGACGGCGGCGGCGGCGACGAAGTCGACGACGACGACGGCGGCGACGGCGACGACGACGGCGACGTCGGCGACGACGACGACGGCGGCGGCGGCGACGACGGCGGTGGCGGCGGCGGCGGCGGCGGCGACGGCGGCGGCGGCGGCGGCGGCGACGACGGCGGCGGCGGCGGCGGCGGCGACGAGAACATCCATGTTTTCGTCGGCGGCGACGCAGAAACAGTCCGCACCAGCGCGGGGCTAATCGGTGCAACCGATGGGCAAACTGTCCGGCGCGCAAGAAATGGAGGCGAAGACGCTGGCGGCCGTGCGAAGGACGAGCGGCGAACATGCAGCCGTATCCGTACCTCCCAGACCCCCGACGTCGTGATTTTTTCATGACGTCGACCCCCAGAGGTCTGGACCCTTTCCCCGGGACCGGTTTCGCATCCTGAGTCGTTTTTTGACGCTCCCGCGGCCCGGGGAGGACCTCCAGAGGGCGAAAATAGTGAAAAACGTTCCGTCGTGATTTTTTCACGACACGAGGGGGTCTGGGCTTCGCGGTCGGGGTTCTGGGGCGCGATCCCGCTGACGCGCAGTCGCACGGATGCGTTCCGCGCGGGGCGCCCGTAAAGAAACGCCCCGCATCCGCGGGATCGCAGTCCGGGGGCCCGGCCCGCGAGGCCGCGGACACGGATGTGCGTTCGCCCACGAGGTCCTCTGCCCCGTGAACCTGATCACGCAGTGGGTGCGCGAGGTGCAGAAGTTCGTGGCTGGGGGTCTGAAGGTCTCCGGGCGATGGAGGTTCGAGGTTTCCGGGCGTCTTCGTAGTTGTCGGCGGCTTTCCAGCCTCGGGAGGGTCACCAGCACCTGCGCCTCGTCAACAGTGGTGCCCAGATCGTCCCGGACTGCCGCTGAAGACCCGAGTTACGGGCCGAAAAGCACCAGGCGGGGCACCCCTGCCGCTAACCCTCCCTCGTTTTCGCTTTTGGGGGGCCTCCGGGGTTGGATTCGCTTCTCAATCCTGGAAAGAACGCGCCCAGGGAGAAATCCGGGGAGTAGCGGCATCGAGTTGGGGGCTCGCTGCGTTGCGCTGAGAGAAGAAATAACAAAAGATGTTGGATTCCCCAAGGTCGTCCCGCTCCAGACCTATGCCCAGTTGAAGCGCACCTCCGCCCAGGCCGGTAATTTGGTATAAGCACGGGGGTGAGTATTGCTACGTTGTTCGTTCCCCCTTCCTCCCCGTCATCATGTTCATACCTATACGACAATCCTTCGGGTGATAAGGAGGTTCGGGGGTGGAACCAACGTCTCACTCAATCAATATCACTATCGATCTTACTATCGATATCATTATCGATCGCACGATCGATATCACTATCGATCTCACATTCGATCTCACGATCCCTCTCACTATCAATTTAATTGTCGATCTCACAATCGACCTCATTATCGATCTCACTATCGATCTTACTGTCGACCTCACCATCGATCTCACTATCGATCTCACTATCGATCTCATTGTCTATCTCGCTCTCGATCTCACTATCGATCTCACGATCGATCTCACTATCGATCTCACGATCGATCGCACTATAGATTTCACGATCGATCTCACTCGCACGATCTCACTATCGGTCCCACTATCGACATCACAATCGATCTCACTAGCGATCTCAGTACCGATCGCACTGTCGATCTCACTATCGATTTCACTATCGATCTCACGGTTGATCTCGCGGGACACCATGGGACACCGCGGGACACCTCGCGACACCACGGGACACCACAGGACACCACGACGGGACATTGCGGAACACCACGGGACACGACGGAACACCACGGGACACCGTCACGGGACACCATGGGACACCAGGGGGCACACGGGACACCACAGGACACCGCGGGACACCACTGGACACCACGGGACACCGCGGGACACCACGGGATACCATCGGGCTACCACGGCGAGACGCTTGGGGACACCATCGACACACCGCCAGGACACCATCGGGCCACCAATCGAGGCACTGGGGGGACACCACGGGACATCACGGGACATTATGGGGCACCATCGGGACACCACGGCGGGACGCTTCTGACACCCGCCCGCCAACCAGGGGGGCGGACTTCTGTCCTCGCCGCGCCTTGGCCAGAGGAGGGTTCATTCCTCTCGCCCGCCCACGCAGCTTCACCTCGCCCGCACGTATGACACGAACCCGAAATTTACACCGATCTTCTGATGGGCTCTCCGTTCCACTTCGATCTCGCCCCCTCACCTCCGACCTTGTTTCTCATCATCATCATCATCATCATCATCATCATCATCATCATCATCATCATCATCAGCATCAGCATCAGCATCAGCATCAGCATCATCATGACCATCATCATGACCATCATCATCACCACCTCCATCACCATCACCAACAACATCCTCATCCTTAATCTCCCATCATCATCATCATCAGCAGCAGCAGCATCAGCGTCAGCATCAGCATCATTATCATCATCATGATCATAATTAGTATCAGTACCATCCTCATCATCATCACCACCAGCATCACCAGCATCACCATCAGCATCACCATCATCATCACCATCATCATCGCCACACTCATGGTCCTCGTCGTCATCCTCATCATCACAATCATCATCAGCATGTGCATCATCATGATCATACTCATCATCATCACCATCAGCGTCATCATCATACTCATCTAGATCATCAACATCCTCATCCTCATCCTCGTCACCATCAGCATCAGCATCATCATAGTCAGCATCATCATAGTCGCCATCACCAGCATCAACATCATGGGCCTCGGAATCAGCGTCATCAATATCGCCATCGTCATCATCAGCAGCAGCATTATCAGCATCAGCATCAGCATCACTATCATTATCAGCATCGTTAGCATTATCAGTATCAGCATCATTCCCTCATCATTAGCAGCATCACCATCATCAACACCATATGCATCGTCCTCATCGTCATCCTCATCCTCGTCACCATTATCAGCACCATTTGCATCAGCATACTCATAATCATCCTCATCATCATCATACTTATTGTACTCATCATTATCATCACCATCTGCATCATCATCACCACCATGATCAGCATCATCATCACCACCATGATCAGCATCATCAGCATCGTCATCATCAGTATCATCAGCATCATCGTCAGCATCATCACCATCACCATTACCATCCTCATCCTCATCCTCGTCACCATCAGCATCAGTATGATCATCATGACCTTTATCAGCAGCAACATCATATCCCTCGTCATCAGCATTATCAGCATCGTCAGCATCATCATCACCATTATCATTATCAGCATTACCATTTAGCAGCATCATCATCATGTTGATCATCGTCATCATCAGCATCATCATCGTCATCAGCATTATCAGCATCATCACCATCATCATCAGCAGCAGCAGCATCAGCATCAGCATCAGCATCAGCATCAGCATCAGCATCATTATCATCATTGTATTTATTCGTTCGCTGTTTGCTCAGAATGTATAGGGGCACGTTTTTGACTGGCCCACCCTGGTCCTCGGGACCCAGTTCGTACCGCCCGTCGGCTGTGGTCATCGCCTCTCGTCTGCAAATCTTACGCGATAAGTTTCGCGGTGGTCACCCCGTCTCCATGTCGTTCCTCCTGCTGCAGGTGAGCGACCAGCTCACATTCAAGGCCGTAGTGCTCCTGCACGGTCGGGCCATATCCGACGAGCTGCAAACATATGCTGCAGGTGCTCAACGTGCATGGTCCGCATATGGCCGCGGGCATGATCACCGTCGACCGTGGCCATAGTTTCAGTACTGGCGTCAGCAAGGCCTCTTCCTGGATGAGGCCGATCGCTGCCCAGCGTTCGCAGTCTGCCCAAAATGGCGCCCCCCCCCCCCTTCCATATGGTGCACCAGATGATGATCCAGGGGGATGGTGACGATGACTGCGGAGCAGCCTGCCTGAGCAGCGGGGCGGCCGGGGCCGAGGTGATGACCCGTCGCACGGGCCTTGGGGCTCTGATCCACTGGCGGCATCAGCGACGTCGATTGGACCTGAATCGAGGACGTCTCGGCAGCCCGTCGCCTCGCAGGGCGACGCCGACAAGCATGCAGGGCAAGGCTTGCTGCCCACCAGCCCAGGTGCTCGGCGTCGTCGCGCGGCAACGGCGCAGCTGCCGATGGCAGCGCCTGAAATGTGCAACCCCGTCCACGGCAGGTTCGCGTCGTGCCGACCAGCGGCGACCCGGCCGCCAGCTTTCATGGTGAAACTCCGCCGGCGACCCAGAATCGGTCGATGTTGAACGATCTGACGTTTCGGAAATGGCCGATCGTTCAGGGTTGAACGATCCCCGCGGTGTCAGAAACCAACACCGAAGTCGGCACGACACGAACTTGCCGTTCAGCGCAGAGGGTCCCGCCACCTGCGCGGCTGCACGGCCGCGTACTGCGGACGCCTCCGCACAGTCCGTGGATTCCATCGTGCCATCGGCCAATTCGGTGTCGATGCGTGGAGGTGATTGCGGGATAATTCATGTGCTTTGGCCTGCTGTGGGTCGCCGACCATGTTGGCCATTCCCTGCGGATGCAGAGATCACGGCGATTCCTCCTGATTCGCGAGCCGCTCCCGTGGAGTGTCGGCCAGATGAGAATTTTGAGTTTGGATATGTTGTTGGGAGACCACCAGACTTTCTGCATCTTGAGCAGCTTCTGGAGGAGGCCAAAGACTGCGTGAGGATGCTCCTCAACGAGTTCGCTGGGCTCGTCCATGTCGTTGTGGATACGACTCGTGGCCCTCATGCGCTGCCTGTTGATATCGCCATGGATCCTCCGATCTTCCGTGCCTGAATGATGCGCGGGGAGGGTCGGCGACAGTCGGCGATGTTCATGGGAGATGTATTCGAAGAGGACTCGTCAAAAAATCATCATCGTCACCTCCATGACCATCACCATCCTCGCCACACGGTGCGTCATTGCAGAGGGAGGCTCGTCGTAGCACGATGCATGCTATAACGGCGTAGCCTCCCAAATCATGATGTACCGAAGCAGAGACCAGTACTGTCCTCGCGACACGTGAAAGCGAAACTCAGAACACGGCGAGATTCGGGCCCGAAAAGTTAGTTACGAAAGACGACGAGGCCGCACCGGGCGAAGTCAGTTAGCGAGAAAGCGAAAGCGCCGAGAGGACGCAAGCGAGAGCGAACTCGAAAGCGAACCGCTCGGAAAAAGTTAGTAGTAGCTTCGCTTTCGCGTGTCGCGAGGACAGTCAGTACCCACCAGCCTTCGGCCCGTCCCGCCGCTGCGCCTGGGTGGTAGGTCCGAGGCCTCTCGGGGCCCTCCCGGCCCGACCTGGGGCGCTCGCGGCTCCGAAGTGTAGTCCTGCGGGGAGCGCCGGGGAAGCGCGGGGGGCACGCCGGGAGCCCGGGAAAGCTTGAGAATATACCGTCGGGGCGCTGAAGAAGGAAGCCTTTTCATTGTGGAGGGGCTCCGTGTTCCTGAATTGTTCCGCAGCTTGCCTCAGGTTTTCCTCAGGTTTTCGATCTGAAATCGAAGTTTAACTTATGGAAAGTAGGGGCCTCGTTCCTTGTTTGGGGTTCCTTAGGTCAGCGACCCGACTGTAAGGCCCAGGCTCTTGACACTCAATCCCGAGGGCTGGGACGAGGGCCCCAAGGGGCCCGAGAGCACTCCAATTCGTGCCTCGCGGCACGGTGGCGGATGCCTGTTCAGCAGGGTTCTGGAACAGCGACGGGCTGGACACACGAGCGTGTTGTCTACTGGACCCGCCGTGCTTATAGGAGGCTCACGCAGAGGGGGGTGCAGATTTTAGAGACCAAGGGGCTTCGGCGTGCCTTCGTGGTGTGCAGCAGCTCTTCTCCAGACTTCGCCTCGGCACACATGGAGCCCCGATAAGAAAAGCAGGGCCCCGCCGCCTCCAGCCAGCAGGACTTGGCCGATGCCGACATCGTCCTGGCCACCTACCGGCTCTTCTATTCCGCGCCCTACCTCGAGCGCCTGCGGCAGCTGGCCTGCCTCCAGGCCAGCGAGGGGCGCGGCAGGGCCCGCGCCGCGGTGCCGCGGTGGCGGGCCGCGCAGATGCGCCGGCGGGGCATGTTGTGCCGCAGGGTGGAGGTGCTGGGCCTCCCAAGTGCGGTCCGAGCAGCTGGGGTCTAGCAAGGATCGCGCCGCATCGCCGATGCATCGCCAGTGTGGAGCTCGATGTTCTGCACGTCGGCGTCGCCGATGCAGCGCCGGTGTCGCCGATGCATCGGCGATGCGGCGCGATCCTTCGACCCAGCCGCTCGGGCCCCAGGTGGGAGGCCTCTGTGGAGGCGCCGCTGCCGCCCGCTCTGCGCTGGCCACCCCAGGACCAGATCCGCATCGGCGGCCGCGACGCGCAGCGGCGGCACTCCCTGCGCGTGTTCTCGCGCCAGTACGCGCAGGTCCTCGCGAAGCTCGAGGGCGCCCGCGCGCCCACGGTCGCGGCGGCGCCGGCGGGCGGCGCGCCGCGCCCCGAGGTGGGCGGCACGTCAGAGTGACCCTTCGCTGGAGTGACCTCTGATGGTGCACGGGCTCTCTCGGGGGGTGCGGGAGGCCGTCCGTGCCGCGCCGCACGCAGCGATCGGCGAGCCGCGCACCCAAGGCCACTCTGGCCTGGGACCACCCGCCGACTCCTCCTCCTCCCTCCTCCTCCTCCTCCTCCTCCTCCTCCTCCTCCTCCTCCTCCTCCTCTCCTCCTCCTCCTCCTCCTCTCCTCCCTCCTCCTCCTCCCTCCTCCTCCTCCTCCTCCTCCTCCTCCTCCTCCTCCTCCTCCTCCTCCCTCCTCCCTCCTCCTCCTCCTCCTCCCTCCTCCTCCCTCCTCCTCCTCCTCCTCCTCCTCCTCCTCCTCCTCCTCCTCCTCCCCTCCTCTCCTCCTCCTCCTCCTCCTCCTCCTCCTCCTCCTCCTCCTCCTCCTCCTCCTCCTCCTCCTCCTCCTCCTCCTCCTCCTCCTCCTCCTCCTCCCTCCTCCCTCCTCCCTCCTCCTCCTCCTCCCTCCTCCCTCCTCCCTCCTCCCTCCTCCCTCCTCCTCCTCCTCCTCCTCCTCCTCTCCTCCTCCTCCTCCTCCTCCTCCTCCTCCTCCTCCTCCTCCTCCTCCTCCTCCTCCCTCCTCCTCCTCCTCCTCCTCCTCCTCCTCCTCCTCCCCTCCTCCTCCTCCTCCCTCCCTCCTCCTCCTCCTCCTCCTCCTCCTCCCCCTCCCTCCTCCCTCCTCCCTCCTCCCTCCTCCCTCCTCCCTCCTCCCTCCTCCTCCTCCCCCACTCGTGGCGCGCCGCCCACGAGGCGGGGCGAGCGGCCCGCCAAGCGCATGCGGACGAAGGGGCCCCTGGACGCCGCGCCGGGCCGCCGCGGCCGCGGCGCCCGCGGGGCGGCCGAGCGCCCCGCCGACGGCTCGGCCGCGCGGGGGGCGCCAGCGCCCCGCGCGGCGTCCCGCCGCGGTGCGGCCGCGCCCGGCGCGCGCGCGAGGCCCGCGGGCGGCGTGGCCTCGGGGGGCGCGCGCGGGAGGCGCCCGCGGGCCGCGGCCCGCGCCGCGGCGGGGGCGGAGGCTCGACGTCGACGTCGTCGTCGTCGTCGTCGTCGTCGTCGTCGTCGTCGTCGTCGTCGTCGTCGTCGTCGTGGTCATGGTCGTGGTCATGGTCGTGGTCGTCAGAGTCGTCGTCAGAGTCGTCAGAGTCAGAGTCGTCGTCGTCGTCGTCGTCGTCGGAGTCATCGTCAGAGCTGTCGTCAGAGTCGTCGTCAGAGTCGTCGTCGTCAGAGTCGTCGTCAGAGTCGTTCGAGTCGTCAGAGTCGTCAGAGTCGTCAGAGCTGGAGCTGGGGCATAACGTTGTCGGAGCAAGAGCTGGGGCGTCACGTTGGCGGAAGATCGAGCAACGTAAGAGAGTGCGAGTCCGTTGCCACTTGGGCTCAAGCCTCGTTGGCCCAAGGCAGACGAGGATAATACCTCGCTTGGTCTCTTCGCCGCCTCGGCCTCGAACAGCGCCATGGTCCGCGACAGCCGCGCCGCCGCCTTTGCGGCCCTGGCGCTCCTCGCGGGCGCCTGGGCCGCGTCGCAGGCCTTCGTCGCCCCGACGAGTGCCCGCGTCGGCTCCGCCGCCGCCGGCCGCGCGCAGTCCGCGGTGGCGCTGAACTCCGGCTCGGGCGAGTACACCGGCTTCGTGCCCGACATGCAGAGGCGCGTGCTGATGAACCTCATCGTTGTTGCCGTCTGCGCCGTTCCTGCGCTGGTGGTCCTCGGGGGGTATGCGTTCTACTTCTTCCCCAAGCTCGGCGGCGGCGGGGGCGGCGCCTCCCCCGTGGGCGACATCAACGGCGCGGCCGTGCCGCTGAAGAAGTGGGTTGCCGGCCACAAGGACAACGACCGTGAGCTGGTGCAGGGACTCAAGGGCGACGCCTACTACCTCATCTCCACGCCGGACGGCATCAAGGACTTCGCCATCAACGCCACCTGCACCCACCTAGGGTGCGTCGTGCCGTGGGTCCGCTCCGCCAACAAGTTCTGCTGCCCCTGCCACGGCTCGCAGTACGACGAGAACGGAAAGGTGGTCCGTGGCCCCGCGCCCCTGTCGCTGGCGCTCGCCCACACCTCGGTCCTGGAGAGCGGCGACATCGCCGTGGCCCCCTGGCCCGAGCAGGACTTCCGCACCGGCCTCGACCCGTGGTGGAGCTGAGTGCCGCCCTCGTTTCCACTGCCGTTCTACAGTCGGGGCCCTGAAGAAGGAACCCTTTTCGTTGGGGAGGGGCTCCGCGTTCCTCATGTTTTCCTCAGGTTTTCCTTTATGTTTTCGATGGGAAATCGAAGTTTAACTTATGGAAAAAAGGGGCCTCGTTCCTGATTTAGGGTTCCTCAGGTCAACGCCCCGACCGTAGGGGTGGGGCCGGGAGATCCCACATGGGGGGCCTCCGAGGACCGCCTTGCCGAGGTGCGGCACGCTCCGCCGGGCCAGCTAGCGTTTTCTCTGCCGGCGAGACCGGGTGTGGGGCTCTGTCTTGCTGGCGCTCACTAAGCAAAAAGAGAGAGAGTTCGAAAAAGGTATCGTCGATCGAGGTTCGATCGGTCGATCGTCGTCGTCATCGATCGAGGTTCGATCGGTCGATGCTCGATCGATCGATCGAGTTTCAATGAGTTTCCTTCGGTCGAGGTTCGATCGGTCGAGGCTCTATGGATCGATCGAGGTTCGATCGGTCGAGGTTCGACCGGTCAAGAAGAGAACCCAGGAAATGCATAGCGGTGTCGGAGCTCCACGCGGATTCCTGGAATCCGCGTTGGGCCCTCAGTGGCGCCGTCCCCAGCGCCGCCCCTGGCGCCACTCCTGGCGCCGCCCCTGTCTAGGGCTCCCAGATGGGAGGAGCGCGCCGCATCGCCGATGTATCGGCAACGCAGCTCGCCGATGTATCGGCAACGCAGCCGGGGTGGCACGATTCTTTTGGGGGGTCTGGTTTGAGCTTCGGTGGGGGCGGCACGATTCCTCTTGGGAGGTGGCACGATGATCTGGGATTTCACCAATACAGTGGAGACCCAGGCCAAGGAAACACCCTGCTTGCCTCCAGGGTGCTTTGGGTTTCCTGGGTTTCAATGGTTTTGCGGTGGGCAGCGTGACGCTCCCACACCAAAAAAATCAGTGGACGGTCTGGGGTCTCAGGGTTTGGGTTTCCTGTGGCAGGTTTCCTGTGGACTGGCCCCCACTGTGCAGGGAGGTGGCATGGTTCTCTTGAGGGGTCCGATTTGAGCTGCCTCGGAGGGCTCCAGGGGGGTCTGGGCCGAAGGCCGCCCTTCCATTCAGGAGGGGAAAAAACACACAGACACAATTCATCGTCGACTCCCCAGAAAATATAGGAAATTATCCCGGCAAAGCAACCTAACAGCGATGTGTAGAAGCATATCTGAAAGCATTCCCCTTAAGATTCAGATGAAAATCCAGTTGTAGAATTCTGCTGTTCTCGCAGTCGTAGTCGCATTCGCGATGACAGTCGCAGCGGCAACGGCAGTCGCAGTCACAGCCTCAGCCTCAGCCTGCCTCAGCCTCAGCCTCAGCCTGCCTCAGCCTCAGCCTGCCTCAGCCTCAGCCTCAGCCTGCTTCAGCCTCAGCCTCAGTCTGCCTTCAGCCTCGGCCTCAGCCTCAGCCTGCCTCAGCCTCAGCCTGCATCAGCCTCAGCCTCAGCCTCAGCCTGCCTCAGCATCAGCCTGCCTCAGCCTCAGCCTCAGCCTGCCTCAGCCTCAGCCTCAGCCTGCTTCAGCCTCAGCCTCAGTCTGCCTTCAGCCTCGGCCTCAGCCTCAGCCTGCCTCAGCCTCAGCCTGCCTCGGCCGCAGCATCAGCCTGCCTCAGCATTCAAAATGTGGCCCAGGAATGGAGTTCTGGGAACTAGAAGAACACGAAGTGGCCTACAGTTGGCTCCGGGCATTCAAAATCATGCCCAGGAATGGAGTTCTGGGAACTTGAAGAGCACGAAGTGGCCTACAGTTGGCTCCGGGCATCCAAAATGTGGCCCGGGAATGGAGTTCTGGGAACTCGAAGACCACGAAGTGGCCTACAGTTGGCTCCGGGCATCCAAAATGTGGCCCGGGAATGGAGCTCTGGGAAGTCGAAGAGCACGAAGTGGCCTACAGTTGGCTCCGGGCATCCAAAATGTACGCCGGGAATGGAGTTCTAGCAGCGCCAAGAGCGATTTTGCGAGGATGTCCCAGGCGATTTGGGCTTCGGCGGCAGCCGCCCCGGGTCCCGCCCCGACCCCCCTGAGGAGTCATGATGCTCTCTTTTGACACCACTAGAAACCTATCAGTCTTCGCTGTTAGGTAAATATGGGAAGTGGTGGGGAAGACAAGCACCCAGAAAATATGGGTAATCTTTTCATTTGTGTGTATTTATTTGTGTGTCCCAGGGCCCCTTTATTTTTGTGTCCCAGGGCCCCTTATTTGTGTGTATTTATTTGTGGGAGGGGTCCAAAACTGATCGCCTGGCAGGGCTGTGGTCCCCTCCCTTTGCACTGCGATGTGCGGAGCATGCAGACTTGCGCTGGCCGACCTTTCGGCCGACGGCTGTCCTGTTGGAGATGGTGTGGTCGGCGCTCCAGGGGAACGCGCAGAGCTCGGCCAGGCTTGGAGGCCTGGAGGGGCTCCACGCCCTCGTGCCCCCCGCTGCCGCCACTGCGAGCAGCGCCGACGTGCAGCATGTTGGCCCGCGCGCCGATCCTCCTTCTCCTTCTCCTCCTCCTCCTCCTCCTCCTCCTCCTCCTCCTCCTCCTCCTTCTGCTCTTCTTCCTCCTCCTCCTCCTCCTCCTCCTCCTCCTCCTCCTCCTCCTCGTCCTCTTCCTCATATGCCTCCGCTCCCGGGAGGGCCCGCCGCTGCTGGGGTGCTTCCACTGGAAGCGGCTGGTGCTCGACGAGTTCCACGAGCTGCTCGCGCGGCACCCGCCGGCGCAGGTCGTCGTGCGGAGCCTCAGCTCGACGTACCGCTGGGGCCTCTCGGGGACCTCATGGGGCGCTCAGCTGCCCAGACCCCGTCGGGTCACGAGCGAAAAGGGTTGCGGGAGTTTTTGTTTTGCTACTCTCGTTTTTCTTCCCCAGGGCCACAGCGGACGGGAACCAAACGAGCTCACGAAGCGCGCCGAAAACCCAGCATCACTTGGGGAAACGGGGGGCACCGACGTGGTGCGGGAAATGAAACAAAAAGTTAGGGCGGGGGAGGAGGGAGGGGGGGGGGGCGGGGAAGCTCAGGCACCGGTCCCCGGGACCGCCAAGAAAGGGCTCAGGATGAAAGACCGGTCCAGGGGGAATGGGTCCAGGCCGCGGGGGGTCCAGGCCAGGAGAAGTCCTGACGTCGGGGGGTCTGGGGAGTGACCCTCCGTCGCCTTACACTTCGCTGCCCTGATGCGCCCGTGCTGGAGCGCAACACGTGCTGCGTTCAAAGCGTGCATGTTGACACGCTGTGCGTTGGCTCGGTGCGCGTTGGTCCACGCTGTGGCGAACGTCATTATCGCGCCAGACCTGCGTTTTCAGTCTGCGTGTTGAGCTCCGTGCCAACGCGCTGCGTGTTGCGTGCTGCGCATCGGGGCAGCTACGCAGGGACATCGACGGAAAGGTGGGGGATCGGCCCACTGGGAGGAGTTCTCACACGTTTTCGTATGTTTTCTTACGTTTTCGTGGGCCCTCGTCGGTTCTCCAGCCTCGGGGTGCCTTCCAGCAGCTGCGCCGCGCCGAGGGCGCTCCACGGGTGTCCAGATCGTCCCGAGCAGCCGCCAGACAGCCGAGTCATGATCCCGAAAACCAGGAGGAGGAGGAGGAGGAGGAGACCCTGGGCCGCCCCTCAGATCTGGGCGTGGCAATTTGTTCACGCCGGACGTTCTCGCCCAGTTTCGGGCCCCCCGGCCACCACAGACAGATCGATCCCGCTTGAAAAAGTGCCGCAGAAAGGGTCCAGCCGCAGAAAGGGTCTGGGGCTCTGGTCGCGTTTTTGTTCGCGATGTTGCATTTTTCTCCGAACAGCTTGCTGAACGGGGTGATGCAGTGATCGTAGCTAGTTCTGGTCGAAGGACGGGTGCCCAGAGACATCTTCAAGACAATTTGGTGGTCCAGGCCGTTTCACCTGAGACATCTTCGTAACTCTCGTTTCTGAGGTGGCTGGGATTGGGCGTTTCGCCTGAGACATCCTCGCAATTCTGGGCTTCGCCCAGGAGTGGGCCGTCTTGAAGTCTGGGCTGGTGGAGTTCTGGATGGGCTGGACGGCCTGAGATGCCGCGCGAGAGGTGGTCCAGCCCAGCCCGCATCGCTTGCGACATCCTCGTAATTCTGGGTCTAAGAAGATGTGCGCGAGGTGGTCCAGGTTGTTTCGCCCGAGACATCCTTGCAGCTCTAAGCTCTGGGAAAAAGTGCGTAAGGTGGTCCAGCCCTGTTTGCTTGAGAAAATTATCCTTGCGATTCGGGGCTCCGACATGCGCGCGAGGTTCTCTGGCCCGTTTCGCCTGAGACATCCTCGAAACTATGCGCTCCGAGATGCCGCGCGCGAGGTGGTCCAGCGCGTTTCGCTTGAGACATCCTCGCAATTCTGGGCTCCGACATGCCGCGCGCGAGGTGGTCCGGCCCGTTTCGCCTAAGACATCCTCGCCACTCCAGGATCCTGGAAGATGTGCTCGAGGTGGTCCAAGCCGTTTCGCTTGAGACATCCTCGCATCTCTGGGCTCTCAGAAAGTGTGCGCGAGGTGGTTTGGCCCGCTTCGCTCGAGACGTCCTCGCAACTCCGAGCTCCGAGATGCTCGGCTCCGAGAGGGAGGAGAGAGGTCACCACCTACCAAACCACCCCAACCCAATCCGAAGGCCTCAATTTGCCCTCCATTTCCAGTTGGGGGGGGGGGTCGGGGAACGTTGAAAAAACACATGGGACCCGTATCCCCCCCCCCCCAACCCGAAGTTCGGGTCAGATTCGGGTCTTCGGGTCTTCGGGTTGGGGGTGGTCTGGTAGGTCGTCGAGAGGAGCGAGGTCAGAGCCAAACGAACCATGTGATTACGCGTCTGTCGTCGAATGGTGCTCTGGGCGGGGTCTGGGCGCCCGAGGCGCGGGCACCAATGCCGCGCTCCCTCTGGGGAGGCGCGGGCCCCCCAAACAAAAACAACAAAGAAACGATTCCGCGGTGAGGGAGGAATGCCCAACCAAGGAGGGTTGGGAATAAGGCAGGAAGCAGGGCGCAGGAGGAGGGAGGGAGGCGGGAGGAAGGAAGGTGGAGACCACAGTCCCTTATTCAAGACGAATGCCCAACCAAGGAGGGTTGGGAACAATAGAGAAACGATTCCGCGGTGAATTGCACGGGTTTCTCAGGGGGAGGTCGTGCTACATCAGGTCGTGGAGGTGCCTCGGGCGAGAGCGCGGCGAGCAGGGAGGAGGCAGGGTGGGGGAGGAGAAAGGGAGAGCAGGAGAGAGAGAGGAGCACTGGAGGGTGGAGACGGGGCCGGGCCCACTGCGTGAGGGCATCCCCGGCGAGGGTGCCTCCTGGAAGCGGCATCGAGAGTGCGAAGGCATCCCTGGGATGGCGGAGGAAGCGGAAAAAGGGAGGGAAGAGAAGGTGGAGGAGGATGGGGAGGACAAGCAGCAGGAGGAGGAGGAGGAGGACGAAGATAGCAGGGAGGAGGAGGAGGAGGAGGAGGAGGAGGAGGAGGAGGAGGGAAAGGAGAAGGAGAAGGAGCACTGCGAAGCGGAGCAGGACAAGGAACACGAGCAGGAGTACGAAGACTACAAGGAGGAGCGCGGCGAGCAGGAGGAGGAGGGGCAGAGGGAGGAACAAGAAAAGGAGGAGTGCGGTGAGGAGGTAGAGGATGAAGAGGAGGAGGATGACGACGATGAGGAGAACGACGAGGAGGAGTAACACCCGGAGAATGGGGATGATTGGCATGAAGTGGGGACGAGGAGGAGTGAGATGAGGAGGTACAGGAGGAGGAGGAGGAGGAGGAGGAGGAGGAGGAGGAGGAGGGAGAAGGACCAGGAGGATCAGGATGAGGAACAAGAGGACGAGGAGGAGGAGGAGGAAGAGGAAGAAGAGGAGGTAAAGGACGAGGGGAGGGCCATGAGGAGAAGGAGGTGTAATGGAAGGGGGAGGGGTAGGACGAGAAGGAGAATGACGTGGATGCGGAGGAGGAGGGGGGGGGGACGTCGACGACAATGGCGAAAAACCCGACGACGCCGAAGGCGCAGGCGGATCAGGAGCAGGAGGACGCGCGAACATTCTTAGGAACCACATTGGCTCAAACAGCGCTGTTTGCGGGGCTCTGGCTTTTCATTCCCGCTGCGTCAGCACCGACCCCCATCGCCCATTCATCGCCAGTCTGGGCCTGGGCCCCCCTTCCCACCCCGCCAAGGAGCGTGCAGTTCCGCTGACGTGGGGGTTGTCGCTGATCTATCGATCGGTTACCTCTGATCCACCTGCCTCGGGAGGAGGAGGGCCAATGTTTCCTTTCAACCTGGGCCCGTGCCTCCCTTTCTCTCCCCGCCAGGACCTTGCCGACCAAGAAGGCCGCGGACGTGGTCAAGATGGCTTCCTTCTTCAACGTGGACCTTGCGGGTGCCAGCCACCGGTCCCACGTTCCGAGAACCGTGTGCCAGCAGTGGCTGGACCATTGCGTGCGGCGCAACACGGCGGGGCTGCAGGAGCTGAAGAGCGAGGAGGAGATCGTGTTGGTGCGCCAGCACCCAGCGGAGCGCGCCCTGTACCTCCAGCTGGCGCACGCCGCCTCCGACTTGGACCTCGTGGGCGAGGAGGACGCCGCGGCGCTGCTCGCTCTGCGGCGCCGCGGCCAGGAGGGCCTCGTGAAGCTGTGCTCGCACTTCCAGCTCAGCGGGGGCCAGCTCCAGCGCTCGGCGCTGGACGAGTGCGACGCCGTGCTGCAGCGCCGCACGCGCGAGCTGGCCTCCTCGCGGCTGGCCGTGAGGAGGGCGCTCGAGGAGGCCCGGGCGCTGGTCCTGCAGCTCGACCCCCTCCAGCACCTGGTCGACGGGCTGGAGGAGGCGCGCCGGAGGTGGGCCGAGCTCCGCTCGTCCTTCCCTCAGCGGTCGCAGAGGGAAGCAACCACGATACCATACGTACACGACCACCCTGCGGGCTGGGGGGGAGAGGGAAACCCACTGACAACAACTGCGACGACTTCGATGGCGACGAGATGGCGACGTTGCACGATGACGCTGATGGCGACGATTAATGATGGTGGTTGTAAGAAACGCGACACAGCCGCGAGGGAGCTCACACCACATCAATGCGACCTCGCGTTCGACTCCAATCGGCGGATCTCACTGTTGGTTTCACGATCGATCTCATTCTCGATTTCAGTATCGATATCACAATCGATCGGACTATCGGCCTCGCAATGTAGTTCACTTTCGATCTCACGATCGATCTCTCAACAGAATTCAGTTGCGATCTCACAGCGAGTGGCTGTAAGTACGATCGGGACACTAGCGGGGCAAGATCGGGACATCATCGGAACACTAGCGGGCCAAATAAATGCTACCGCAAGGGCCATTAGGGCCACGAGTTTCGCCAGACCAGTAGGAAAGGAAAGTGGCAATGGCGGCGACGATAGTAGCAACGATGACTTGCACTCTTTCTGTTCGCCGAGGCTGGTCCCGACAGTGCCTGGCAAAACATGCGCCTAATCAGTTCCTCTCCCTGCCCCTCCGCGCCCGCTGCTGCTGGAGCGCGCGCTCTTTGCACTCGCACATCTTGCGCGGCCTGCCTGCGTGCTGGACACCACCCGCGCCCGCAATGGAGACAGATCCACACCGAAGCCCGATGCTGACCTGGCGCGCAACCGGGCTGGGACACGCGCCTCTGCCCCTCGCCACGCCCGCAGTAGCGTCGCCAGGCCGCGCGCGCACATTGCGAAGACGCTGCGGCTGCATTCCCGACACTTCGCCTGGCAGAGCCTGGGCTGGGCCTCCTCCTCCTCCTCCTCCTCCTCCTCCTCCTCCTCCTCCTCCTCCTCCTTGGCGGGCCACCAGAGCCCAAGTCTGCGGAGCAGCCCGGCAGCTTGTGCACCTACTGCGTGCGCGCGCACGTGCACGTACGCCGTCAAAGGAAACCGAGGGCCCCCTCGAAGACCACGTGTGCCTTGCGGCTCCCTGGCGCTCAACAGAGAGAACGGATCTTTGTCGGCACGTTTTTTTTAATTTGGCTGGCGGCGAAGTCGTACGTCCGCAGGCGGCCACCAGTGAAGCGCCTTGCCGCGATCAGCGCAGTCTGGCCCACGTCCGGGTCTTCGTGCACACCTGACTCCGAGGAGTGCGCCACCGCCAGGCTGCAGAACAGAAGCGGTGGCACCTGGTGGCGAACGAATGCTGCCAGGAGCTTCGTGGCGACAGGTCGGGTCGTTGAGTCCACCGAAACAGGCGGGCCTCTGGGTCGGTCAATCGCCATCCCCAGCTGGAGACGGGGCCTCTTCCCGGCAGCGGCTTTGGCCGCCGGAGCGGCGCCGGCAGAGCCGCATGGCCACGCCAGCTTCTGCAGCAAGCGCGCGACTTGGCTCAGCCCCAGACGACCGCCGCTTGCCAACACGGACTCGTCTAAATCCAGGATGCCTTTCATGCGCGGTCGCTGGCAGAGCCTGGCGGCCGCTTCCAAAGCCTGGCGATCCGTGGCTGCTAGACTAGCACGGCAGCGCTGGACATCAGCAGCCACCCCAAGTAGCGGACCAGGCGGATGCGCACAGACACGCTGACATGGCAGCGGCGGAAAAATAGTGCCCAAACACCAAAAGCGCAAACACCAGTGGGGCACCATCGAGACCCCATTCCGACACCACCGAGACACAATGAGGCAGCAGAACGCCAAATAAATGCCACCACTACTGCGCTGCGACGTGCGACTCAGAGTGCGATAACTGGTTGCTGGTGGCCAGATGACTGCGATTCTGATGATAGGCGCAGTGGTGAAAACGAAGATGCCTATGCTGAGTACCGCCTGGACACCATCTGATCTCAACTGGGCCACAATGGAAGTGAGCGGCTGATCACGGAAGGCGATGCGATGCTTTTCAGTTCTTCTTCCCGGCGCGCCGGTGCCACTGCCTCCGAGAGAATTCGCCCGACGTCGATGGCAAAGCCTTGCTCCGCGGGCGCCTGCGCGCGCTGGAGAAAGGCACGAGGGCCAAGAGAGCCGGGCAGACCGGTGAGCAACAGAGGACCGGCAGAGGCTTACGGTTGCGGCAGCGTGGCTGCGAGGGCAGGGCCGGGCGCCAGCAGGCCGTGGCCTCGCAGCCCGCGGCGAATGGCACTGCGGCGGACGCGCGCGCAGCAGCCACGGCCCCCGCGACAAGCACACGCAGTGGACGCCATTGTTGCCCGCGTGGATTTCGCGCTCTGCGGCTTCGGGCCCGCGCGAGGACATCGCCCGCGCGCCAAACGCGCCACCGAGCGAACGCAGGGAAGGATCGCGACTTGATCGTCTGGCTCCGTGGCGACGCACGAGGATACCAACTCGTCGGCGTCTTCTTTGGACGCCAGCCCCATTACCGAGGCAGCGCGCACCTCCTGGGCGCGCCCGGGGCCGGAGACGCCCAAGCCGGCAAAGGCTGCGTGCTTGCTGGCCTTCGCGCCCCCCCCCCAAGTACAGCACAGCGGAAGCGGCGCCGCAGAACTTGCTCCAGAGAGCCCGCGCCGGCGCCCCTCGACTTCTGGACGCCCCGGGCCAGGAGTTCGCCGGTGGAGGCGTGCACCGCGGAGGTCCCCGGCAGAGCCCTGGGGCGGCACGTGCGGCGCGCACTCGGCCAGGCCAGCTGCCAGGCACCAAGCAGAAACGCGCAGTCGTCGCGCTGCCCGCTGCGAGCCCCAGATCCAGGACGCGCGGATCGAAGCGCCCTCGCTCCGCGCGCGCTGAGAGCACTGATCCCGCGCCTCTTGCCCCCCCCCCCGCGCTGCGATGTTGGGAGCGGGAGTTTGCGCGCGAGCACGTCGCAATAATCCCTCGCTTGCACGTTTCGCATCAAGCCCGTTGAGCAACGGCAGAAGTGCACGGCCAAAGTGAAAGGACAGATGCTCAAGTGCGCGAGCGATGTCCTCCACCTTGAAGCCCGCGTCGATCGCGGCCCGCGCCGCGGCGTCCTCGTACGCGGACGCCGCGACGGCAGTCTGCGGCGCAGCGCTGCGCCGAGCCCCCTTGGGTGGCCTGCTTCTCTTCTCCGCGCGGAACGATGCCACGAAGCTCCATAATCCAGTTAGCCTTGCGACCTTCTTGCTGCCCACAGAACCGAGCTGCGCTGTCAGAGACTGGCGCCACGCCTCCCGCGGACAACGTGGCGCGCACTCTGCGATCTCCTAATCCGACGGGCCCCTGCTCCCTTGCGCCTGAGTCTGCGCGCGCAGATGCTTCTCGCGCTCTGCCAGCAGCGCCTCGTGCGAGGTGCCGCGCCGCTCCAACAGCTGTTCAACGAACATGGCATCCGCGCGGGAGTCGAGCTCGGCTCTTGCAGAGAACTCACGAGTCAGGTACGCCGCAACAAAAAATGCAAGCGGAGGCAGCTTATGGAACGCCATGCGGCTCCATTTGGTGGCTCGCGTCCACGCGGCAACCGCGAGCCCCAACGTCGCCGCTAGCGCGCGCCCACTGCGCCCCTCGAAAGAAACGATACACCCTTCGCGCGCTGTGATACCTTGTGATTTGTGAATGGTCAAAGCCCAAGCCAAGCGTAGCGGCAGATTTCCCCGAGCCACCGAAGTCATGGTTTCATGTTGGACCTCTGCGCAAGGAGCTGGCACCCAAGCCCTAGGCAGGTCGTCGAAGCAAACAGGGCCTTGGGAATCTGGAAAGTGCACGACGACCAAATCCGGAACAGGACGCAGGAGGTGCTCTCCACGAGGGAACGCTCCGAGAGTTGAACTCGGATGACCGGCCCCTGCGGGGACGTTCCCATCAGTTCGATGCCCACCGATGGAAACATACAGGATTGCCGCAACCACGCCCCGAGCGCCATTCATCAGGCCGAGAGGCACCGTGCGCACACCCCAGAGGTGATTTTGCACTAGCACCACCGTCGCACCAGCACAGAGGCGCAGCGCCTGGCGCACTCGGCGAAAGTCAGCGGCCGGGCTGTGCCGAGCCTCGAGAGTCGTTGTGCCCGGCCACGGCGGCATCGATTCCTCTCGCGCGCCCGCGCAGCTTCGCCTCGCCCGCACGCACGACACGAAGACGAAACCCGTTCCACTGCGATCTCACCCCCAACGCCCGATCGAATGGAATCCAGCCCATCCGGCCACCGCGCTTGGGTTGTGGGTCTGAGGCATATCGGGTGTTCGCTTGGACCTCGTCGAGACCTCTCGGGAGCCGCTTAGAGACAGTTTTGTGGCCTTTGGGGGGATGTTTGGTGGCCTCTTTTGGGCCTCGTGGGGGCCACTTAGGGTCTCCTGGGCGCCTCTTGCGGCGGAAGGCTCGGATTTTCGATTCGTGTTCCCCTTCTGGGGCCCCTCTCGGGGCTATATTGGGGCCCTCTTCGGGCGTCTTGGGCACCTCTTGGGCCGTCTTGGGGCCCTCTTGGGGGGTCTTGGGGCCTTCTTGGGAGCTTCTGGGGCCGCTTTAGGGCGGTGTTGGGGGCCCCTTGGGACGTCCTGGACACAGTGGAAGCTCAACAGCGACGTTTGCCTCTGGGGGCCCTCTTGGGGGTGCTCTTGGAGGCCTCTAGGGGCGTGTTGGGCGCGTTTTCGGCCGACTCGAGGCGATCTCGGCGTCTTGGACCGATCGTTCGGCGATTCGAGGCCTTCTTTGACTGTTTTGGCAGCCTCTTGGGGCCCTCTTGCCCCGTTTGGGGGCCATTTGGGGCCCGAACAGGTCACGCGTCCAGACGCTCCGGGGCCCAGGGGGCACGCGGCAAGGCCCGAGAGATTTGTGAGCTCGGGGTCTGGTCCCTTGACAGAATCTTCAGGATGGAGGGCTGAGGCTCCGGGGGACTGCGCAAGAACCTGAGGACGCTTCACCTCGCGCCTCAAGGGTACGGTGGCGGATAACTTGCCTGTACGACCACCCTTCGGGTAATGAAGAGGGTGTGGGGGCAGTTCAGCTTTCGGTGTGCGATTGGGGTCGGATCGGGTTCGGCGGAAACCTGTTGGACACCACGGAGCACATGTTTGGCCATCTATCTATCGATCTCACTTCGTATCTACCTATCGATATCCCTCTATCTATCGATCTCACGATATGTCGATCTCACTATCTGTAGATCTCACGGTAGATCTCACCATCGATCTCATTATCGTGTTGCTTATTGATCTCACGGCAGATCTCGCAATCGACACCACGAGACAGCACGGGACACCGCGCCACGGCACACCACGGGACACCGCGGGACACCACGGGACACCGCGGGACACCACGGGACACCACGGGACACTTGCGGGACACACCCGAGCCACCGCCGGCCAACCCGGGGGCGTAGAGTCACTGAGCTCGGTTTCGCGCTGGACGAGGCGGGTTTCGTTCCCCTCGCGCGCCCACGCAGCTGCGCCGCGCCTGCACGCACGAACACGAAGCCGACACCGAGTTCTCAGTGAGGCGTCTCCGCTTCCCTTCCGACGGTTTAAGACAACGAGCGCACGGTTTCTCGTGCATGAAAAAATTGCGTTAGCATAGATTCTTAGGCTTACGCCTCACCGCCGACCCCTTCGGGGCCTCTTGGGGCCTCTTGGGGCCTCTTTTGGGGCCTCTTTTGGACTTCTAGGGGGCCTCTTGGGAGCTGTTTGGGGGCCTCTTGGGGCCTCTTTTGGACTTCTAGGGGGCGTTAGCATAGATTTTCGGAGCATGGAAAAATTGGGTTAGCATAGATTTTTTCGGAGCTTGGTGCGGATGTCTTGGGTCGGCGTTGTGCCCACCTCCCTCGGGCGCGGAGCGCGACAGGTCTGGCGCCGGAGGCGCCGCCCGGGGGGGGAGGGGGAGGCCCAGCGCCGACCTGAAAAACCCGCGCGGGGCGCCGAAAGCTCATGTCTGCGCGGCTTGATGCCATTCCTAATACTCCAGATTTCGTAATAAAGGGAGGGGGTTCTCATTTCGGGGGGGGTCTCTTCCAGGCTATCTTGGAGGGCCTGGGGGGGTCTCGGGACTATGTTTTGGAGGGTTCTCCCACGGGGGAGGTCTGAAATGGCTTGTCTTGGAGGGTCCAGACCCCCTCCCTTTTATTACGAAATCTGGAGTAGTGTTATCATTTCTCTGACTCGTATTCCCTTTCTTGCACTTCTATTATTGCAGTATGGTTATCAACATGGCTGTTACGACTGTTATTACTTGTATCATTCGCCCTTTCATCACTCGTGTTATTATTACATGGTATAATAATTACTGTTCGTATGATTATTCGTGTTCGTCTTATGTTTATGTTTCGTCTTGCTGGTAATATGTTTCTTCTTCCGATTCTGGTCATTACTCTTCGAGGTCGCACGCTGGCGCCGCGGCGGGCAGCCTGGCGGCAGACGAGGACCTCGCCGAGGAGGCCAGGAGGCACCTCCATCGCTGCCTCGCCGAGGTGGAGGCGGTGCCCGCGGACCCGGCGGGCGTGCCCGAGCCCCTCCGCCAGCTGCTGCGCAGGTCGAGGCGTTCAAAAAAGGGCCTCGTCTTCGAGGATCGAGGGAGTTGATGTCTCTTCCTCGGCGGAAGGCGGCGGAAGCAAAGCGAGGCCGCCTCCGCCGGCGGAAGGCCAGCAGAAGCCGGCGGAAGTAAAAGTCGGCGTCCTCAGAGATGGAAAGGTCAAGGTCTGTTGAGCCCGCCAGGTCGAGGCCGCCAGAGGCCCCTGCCATCGGGGCGCCGCAGGCGCGTGGCAGATCTCCTCGCGTCCTTCAGGGGCAGCGATAGGGGGGGTGATAGGCATAGGGGGGGACGCATCGACCCCCAATCGCCCATTGATCGCCGATAGGGGCCCGATAGCCCAAACCTGCCCAGGAACATGCGGATTCACTATCGGAGGCCTCTCGCCGATCTATCGACGATGTATCGCCGATTCCAGGTCGATGCATCCCCCCCTATGCCAGCCCCGCCCTGTCGTTGCCCCTCACTCGCGCCCTGGAGAAATCACGGCGGGGAGCTTTTCGCCACCCCTCGGCCTGCATTTTCCGCACCCTCTGCGCGGCAGACGCTGCGCTGCCGCGGCCGCCGCTGCGCCCGCAGCGGTGGCCGCCGCAGAGGCCGCAGCGGCGGCACCCTCCCGTGCGGAAGGTGCGGAAGGCGCAGGTCGAGGGACGTTCGGCTTCTGGAGGCCCTCACCGGCCTTCCCGAATTCAGCGCCCGCCCCTCCGACTCCATCTCCCAAGTTTCCGACTCCAGCCCCCTAGTTTCCGACTTCGGCGGGGTTCCGAGTTCAGAACGAGGCGCCTCGGGTTCCCTACCCGGGACGCCTTTTGGGCGACATCGGCGCCGCTCCGCTCCGCTCCGCTCACCGGCCTCAGGACAGTCAGAACACGACCCAGGATGAAAAGCTGGTCCCGGCGGAGCGGTCTTGATTTTCTAGTGGCCCACGCTGTGAGAAAGTGACGACGGAGCGGATCGAAGAAGAGAAAGCGGCACAAACAGAAATGCTCGGAGGTCCGCGCGGAGTTCGTGGATCGGCGCTGAGCCTTCCTGGCGGCGCCTCTGGCGCGGCCCCTGGCGCGCTCCGCGCGTCAGGGAGGGGGGCCCGCGCGAAACCCAGAAATCTGCGCAGCTCCGAAGAGGCCTTGAAGAGGCCCCCAAGAACCTTCCAAGAAGCTTCCAAGAGAGCCCCAAGAGGCCCCCAAGAGGCCCCGGGGAGTCCCCACAACGGCTGGAATGCACGTGGTCGGACGTGCACGCCGCGAAGCGAAAGGAATCCGCGCGGCCCTCCGAAAGTGTACCTGCTTCTGGCCGGACAGGGCTGGGACGAGGCTAGATCCGTTCCAGAGCCTTCCAGACTGAGAAAGCCGCGGCGCCCGAGACATCCTCCAGAGCCGCCGGACCTCGGAGAGTCTCGGCTTCTCCTCGCCCGAGCTCTGCTCCCTCGCCCCGGCTTCGTCTGACGTGTCTGCGCCGCCTTGATCGCCCCCCCCGGCAGGAGGCGCACGCGCGGGCGCTGCAGGCCTGGCGCGCGTCCAAGGCGCTGCGGGAGGGCGGAGCGAGGAGGAGGAGGAGGAGGAGGAGGAGGAGGAGGAGGAGGAGGAGGAGGAGGAGGAGGAGGAGGAGGAGGATGATGATGATG